CTATTCAAGTTGAAGATCTGACATTAACCGACAAAAGAAAGAGCAGAAAGGTATCTAAAGCGCTGCAGCCAACAGTCAGCGGTGTGTTCAAGTGTGTAAAACTGTGTGAGTTTGTGGAGAAAGAGGAGCTCCATGAAGGAATGCAGTGAATCAAAAAGAATCCATAAAGACTAGAAGGACACCATATACACCTTTATAAAAAAAAAGTATTCAGGGTGGCAAGTATTCCTCTATACAGCGAAAAACTGCTCAGCAATTGAAGGGCTGAGTTCTAACAAAGCTCCTTATACTCAAGTGCAATCTGCCATAAGGTAAAAGGTCTGTTTGATGTAGACAAATGGGTTCAGAAGAATTCTTTTTATTAATGTCACACAGAACAAAAATGTAACAAGACACAATCACAGTCACTTGTAAACTGAATACTCTCATGCAGCATCCTTTAAGACTGGAAAGCAGGTTAAAGAGACTACTAGTTCACAAACAACAGAAGTTAAGCCAATGCTTCTGATCTGAATGAAAGTGGGCTGTATCATTTTCCACAAAAAAGCAACTAGTTTAACAGATTATCATCTTATCCCTTCCACAGCTCCAAGCCCCTATTTCCCCTAATTTCTGAATTTATTAATCACATTTGACCTTTCCCTGTATTTTTGCTCTGAACGTTTCCAAAAATGGAGGTTTTTCCAATGCACAGTCACAGAGGAGTTATTAATGTTAAAATCCTGGAAAATAAGTAGTGTTAAATTTTAAATCCCACTATAACTTGGTTCTTACCTTGCCACTGAATACATGAAGAGGAAATCATTGTCAGGGGAGCCAGGGTTCCTGCCATAGTCCATGTACTTCTTCTGGGTGGTGTTCTTGATGTCTTTGATTACTAACTCCATCTCTTTACTCAAATTAGACTCCGTCTGGAGATTAAGACCAAAAACAACAATAAGTCAAAGTACCGATTAACCTAAAGCAGTGGTTACAAACTCATTTTGCATCATGGGCCACATACAGCCCACTTTGATCTCAAGTGGGCTGGACTAGTGAAACTACATGATAAATGGGACAAATGCATTGCAAAGATTCAAAGAAAATGTCCATTTGCTTGTATTTAATTATTTATTTTTTTGGTAATAACAAATTGGGCAGATATTTCAAGTCTATTTGTGGTAATCTGAAAGCTGAAAATGTCTGGTGCACAGGTCACGTGCAAACAAAAAGTTGAAAAAGACAATAAAACACTGGCATTTGAGAAATTTTTAGAGTTAAAATGGCATCAATCTAGCTTTAGCAAAAAAAAGGAGAGAACAGTCTATGAAAAAGAACCGCCCTGTTTCAATCTCCATCAACGCTACAATCTAAAGTACTGTTTTCAGTCATTAATATCACTGCCAATGTGGCCACTAGCTAAATGCAGAGTATAGATTTTAAGACATGCCGTCTGGTTTAATCATCAAACTTACTGGGAACAGGCCAGGTTTCTCCTGAAGTTCTTCCACCTCCTTTACGAGCACAGACGTCTTCTTGTTTGTGGGTGTGTGCCAGGTACCGGCTTCGGTGCCCCTCCCAGGGCGACAGGGGAGGACACTATTGGCAAACTGTCGACACAGCGGGCATGTAAACTCGCCCTTGTCAACAGAGAAACCCTGGAGGACCTGGTCATTCTGGGAGTGGAGAAAAAAAACAAACAAACAAACAAAAATAAATCATCAAATGTGACTTACAGTATAGAATCTAAACTCAATAGTTAAGAGCATTTTCAGCTGAAAGGTCTAAACATATAAGGCTCTAGCTCCAAACATCATCATATAATTTTAATTTCCAATTAAACATGGTTTAAAAAAAAAAAAAATCAGACAAATAGGAAACAGAGACTCTTGATCTTGGTCTGAATGATTAATCAACTGACATAGTTGACCAATAAAGCATTAAAGCAAACAATTATTCCATGAGGTCAGGCTTATCCTCACCCTCAGAGACTCCATGTAGGACTTATGGCAATCTATATGCAAAGTGTGTCCACAGGTCTGGACATAGACGCCACCATCCCAACCTATTGACACTGACTGCAGACAAGAACTCTGCAGAAATCATAAGAGAAAAAAAAAACAGTATGCAAATACATCTTCAGGCTCCTGTCTTTCAGGAAAATGTATTTTATTTTAAGGTGCTGAGAAGTTTAACAAACTGAATAAAACAAATGTAAATAAGTTTGTGTTACTTAGTTTTTATGAAGCAAATGGTCATCTTTGGATTTATTATATTCAATACTCAGAGTGATCACTGTTTAGAGAATAACACACATAATGTCACAGAGGCCTATAAATAACATTTTAGACAAATTTAAGCTTACAGCTTCAACACCTAAGAACAGGTGTAGATTCTCACTTTAGTGACATACATTTAAAATAGATCTCAGTAAGAGGCTATTTTAAGATTTAAGATAAATCCATATCCACAATAGTGATCTGTGACTTTTTTAATCTTTTGTGTATAGGCATCAGTATTTTCTATGAATCACGTACATCTTTGAAGAACTGTTGCATGAGTGTGAGCCTGACATCATTAGCCGCACCGCACGTGTCTGCTGGGTAAACGTGTTCCTCGTCGCTCGTCGGCAGATTTTTAGGCTCCGTGCTTTTGCAGCGGTGCCCGAGCACTACAACACAGAAACAACCATCAGCCACAATGATTTTAAGTTAATATGATGAACATTTCATGAATAAGACATAACATGTGGGATGAGATGTTCCAGTGAGAAAAGTTGCACTCTGTGGCAGTGGGCAGACATTATCCAGGCTGCTAACTAGGATTATTCACAATAATTTGTCAATTATTTTTCAAACCAATAAATTATTATTTAGACTTTTACACTTAAGACTTAGATTTCTAAAAA